GGATTGTTTTTGTTGAACACGGCGAAAATTGGCAAATACCACATTTTCTCGTGACTTTCTTCATGCTCATCTAACTTGCGGATACAGCCTTTAGCCAAATAATCTGAAATGGTTGTTATAAAAACGCTTAGCAGTTTAGGATCAGCATTTAGCTTTTTCTCCAGACACAAAAGTCTTTTCTTTGCCATATTATAACTATTTGGTAGCTCAAATTTGTCATATCGCCACAAAAGCGCGGTTTCGTAGTGACCATCACAGCGCTTTCTGGTTAGTTTCTTCAGTATATTTACACAACGCACATCTTCAGCACTAGCCTTTAATTGAGATGACAAATTAACGCCTATATTTTCGAATGAGTAAAATTGTTTTACCATTTCTTGCAGCTTCGCATCGCCGTCTCAAGTACACTCGCAAATGTGAAAACTGTAAGATTCGTTATACTTTTCTGGTTATTGCAAGCTCCGTAGATCAACCATCCGAGTGAAGTCTTAATCGCTACAGGCTCAGTAGGTTTTCCCTCTCGAATTTTATGTGGGATTCCTAATTTCCAATTATCTACTCCCGCTGTATTTCACCAGTCCACTTCAAACACAATGCGTGTGACTGCCCGCTTAGCTCTAATTCGTTAGCAAATTCTTCGTCTAATAAGCTTATTGAAGAACCTTCATCAATAAAGGCAAACGTATTAACTATTTTATTATTTTTTCCTTTCAGCGTTATCGGGATAATTTTAAAGAGGATATCGCCTCTTTGTGAGCTATGAGCATTGCATTTATGTTTCTCAAAGTTTTCATTTGGTTTCAGTTGTGGTAAGTTTGTCTTCTGATTAGGAACAATGTTGCGATGAAGTAGAGCGTGATGCTTAAGCTGACAGCTGTTTACGCCGCATACTTCTGCACATGTTTTAAAATTTGCGTGTTGTTGTAAACATTGTTTACATAAATTTAACTTTCTTATTATCTTCCATTTCTCACCACGGTCGAGCGACTTGGAACATTTTCAATTAGCAACATTGTTGCAGTACTTCTTGCACACGCAACATGTTTTTCTTTCTTCTTCCTTTTCTTCATTGGTACATGGACAAAACTCTTTTTGTTGTCATTCTTGCGCACAGCTGTTTTATCACTTGAAACTGAATTAGTTGACAAAACAACAGAGCTAGCGGATAAACCAACATTATATATCCAATTAGAAAATTCGACTAAATTTGGCCGCATATTAGTTTTTGCCAAATCGAGTTTGTGCGTTCCCCAGCTAATTTGATAAAAGGGTGGTAGCTTTTCTACAAGGTCTTGTAACAATGACGAATTATTCATTTCATCATGTAACCCGCACGCTTCAATAGTCGTTTGTAAATTTTTTACACCAATGGCAAAAAATAATCTCTAACTTATTTTGATTTACTTGTGGTAATAATCTTAACCTATTTTTTATAGAGTTTAATTTTGTTTCTGGTTGGCCGTATAGCAACTTAAGTGTAGACATTGCTGTGCCAACGCAAGAAGGGTGTTTGAGAATATGCTGAACAGCTTGCAAAGCTTCGCCACGGAGGGATCGTTGAAGCCGTATCAGATTTTCAGCATCAGTTAAACCGCATACTGTAGTGGACCATTCAAAAGTAGAACTAAATAGAGGCCATTCTTCGGGCTGGCCGGAAAACGTAGGCAACTCCTTAGGCACAGATTGGCATGCACATATTTGCGTGGTGGACAAATTGTTGTTGAAAGAATATACCGAATTGGGCTGGGCGACCATGTGCGTTCACGACAACATGGAATTTGCTGGAGGTGCGCATATCGGCACGGAATTTACAATGGTCGATGTTAAGCTAGGTTGTGTAGCTGTTGTAGGCGAGGGCAGAAACCGCATATGCTGCGTCAAAGCAGCGGGTTGCGCAGCAGGCGTAGCTGTATGCGTCGACGTCGTAGGTGCGTACATTAACGCAGAGTTCGGGTGTTGCGCGGTATTAGCGAACTGAGCAGCAGAAGTCGACATCGTGGGAGTTGGCGCGCACATTAGCGCGGAATTCAGGTGCTCCACTGTAGCAGCGGGCTGATCAGAAATAGCCGACGTCGTGGGTGTTGGCGCGCACATTAGCGCAGAATTTAGCTGCTGCACATGTAGCAGCGGGCTGAGCAGCAACTGTAGCTGCATTCGTTGATATCGCGGGCGCGCAGGCTAGCGCAGAATTTGGGCACTGCACTGTAGCAGTAATCTGACCAGCAAATAGTGACTTATTCTGCCTTTCATTTTGCTTGAATTGCTCAATAATGGGACCATTCGGGAGCGATGCTGAAGTTCTGTTTATCAAATGTGGTGCTGAGCGCCTGTTAAGGCATCGAAATAAATAGATTTTGCTGAAATAGAGTCTTCTAGATTTTCTTTATGCTTAGGGACATTGTTAAGGTTATGTGCTTCAAGAATCTTATATTTTTTATCGAGGAATTCCTGAACACGCGCGATAGCCATTTGCCTCTCTTCCTCCAATCGTTGAATTTCGAGTTCAGCTGAGTGCTTTGTTGAGGTAGAGGTACGGATGAAATACTTCGCGCCGATGACGTCGAAGCCGATTCTATACAATTCAGACATTTCCATACTTTTGGGGAGGAGTCAGAAACGTTATAGGCGCAGGACTCGTGAAACGCCTTGTGACATTTAACGCAGGATACGTAGGCCTCGCTATTGTCATTTTCGCAATGTGAACAGTGCGGGGGTTGTGGTTGACCTTTTAAAGCATAGGAATTCATATTGTACTTACTTTGAGGTTAGCAATGGACACGTGTAGACCTGCAGTACAATTGTATTTCGTTTTCACCAGCAACGTCGTTGACAGCAACCGTGGCCGCAAATTCTTAAAGAATTTTAAAATGTTGAGACAGTTTCTCAACGGATTAAAGCGCCCTGATTTTCTTAGAATTTTGAACGAAAACTACGCCAGCTGGATGTGAATTCAGGTTTTATTTTGCATAGTTTCTATACATGTAATTATACATGTATGTATGTTAAAATTCCTATTATGGATAGAAACTTAAATTAGATCAATTTGAGAAATATGATATCGTTAAATTATACATACTTTAAGGTATAAAAACCAGGACGTATGACGAGATCTTGAGTAATTGCTTTCGAGCTACTTTATGCATGAACTAATTAAAGTACAATTGGCGCAATTCTAGAACTCCTCTTACGGCTCGTGACAGAAGTCATTTAAATTTATCGATAAAAATGAAAGTAGTAGATTACTCTAGTATAATATAATATATTTTAGACAGTGGCGTCAACACTTTCGTTTGCTGCTACGATTGTTTTTTTTTTTTTGTGACTCCGATGAGGGAGAGTTTATATTAGCTTTCTCAACCAAAACAGTAGAAGGTGAAGACGAGCGAGAGTTACGGCGATCAGCCATGCATGTTTTACAAAAGAAAGGCTTTCAGCTGTGAGAAGAAAATCCACATCAGCCTACAAGACACCAACACATTTTAAGTAAAAATACTCTTTGCAGTGAGCACACAGCACCTTCTACTATCAACCCTTTTGACCGCACAAGCACGGCATACTAAATTTTGATTTTATCAATTAATTTATTGCAATTAAATCACAAAGTTATGCGTCAATGACTCAAAATAAAACTTAGCACCATCCTGATACACATGAAAAAATATTTCGGGTATTCACAGTTTACTTCTAAAGTGAAAAGGTGGCAACTTTAACAAGATAACACACTCGAACTGTGAGCAACCCTTATGTTTAAATAAAGTATTAAGTTGATCAACAATACCACGCATTGCTAGACCGTTTGCCTTTCACGCGTTTGTGTTTAGAGAGCATCAACAAACCACATACATATTTCTCTCTATTCTCTCTTCTCTTTTTTATACTCAGCTAGCACAGCGCAAAAATAAAAAAAAAAAATAACCTTTGCCAGCTCCAGGCAGGCGCAAAGAGAAACTCATGTACAAGCAGCGCTGCGCCCAAAGCGAAATTCATGTATGTATGTACAAGCAGCGATAGATGCCAGTTTAACACAGAACATAAACATGAGACAAAGTCTAGTAATTTTGCCCAAAAGTGTTATCTCTAATTAGTATGGGAACCAACAACAAACAAAGTTACCACATGGTAAAATGTTTTAAAGTTACCAGGTGGCAAAATTAACACAGTAGATAATATAGAACTGTGAGTACCCTAATTAACTTATAGTTTTAGCAGATAATATAACAAAACGTTGAGCGATATAAAAAAACGTCCGCAGAGTACGACCGTCGCGACGCGTTCTCGTGATATTGATAACTTATATAATTTTGCACGAAGTATGAAATTTGGATTTAAATAATATAAAACATCGCCAAAGTTGCACCTAAATTTTAAACGTTTTAATCAGATTTTTTTTTTAAGTATGCAGTTTTATACCCTATTAAATTCTAGTATAATAAAGTGCCAGTCTACAGTTTCTGACAAATCGCGATGATTTTTGGGATTTTAGGTAACGCATTTTCTTCCATACAAAGTATATTCGAATTTTTTTTTGTATGGAAAAAAGGCGTAATACAGTCAGAAAAATTATCAAAAATCAGTCGGCCTTTTGAGCAACTTCAAACTTGCACTTTATTATACTAGAATAGAATGGGCTATAAAACTCCATACTCAAAAAATTCTGAAAAACCTGATTAAAAAATTGAAGATTTAGATGCTACTTTGAGGATTTTTTTATAATTTTTTAAATTCACATTTCATACTTTGCGAAGTTTTAAAAATTCTGCAAAGTATTGATAAAATTTTAAACCAAATAACCAAAATATTAAATGAAAACTAGATATTTATTAAAAAAGGTATCGGTCATAATGAGTAGATACTGAATTAATAACCTCAATAAATATTAAGAAAATATAAACTCAAATATATAGCTTGTACTCGAAAATATGAATGCAAAATAATGCTCAGTCTTCATTTAACAACAAACTCGAAGGTATATACTTTTTCTATTGTCATAATGAACTTACCTGTATAAACGTGGTGACCGTGACAATAATTTGAAAGATTTCGAGGACTGTAAAGTACATTTTTTTGTATGCCGTTTTCGCATTGAAACGTGTTTCTCTTTAATCCATAGTATAGATCATAATCGTGGATTTCAGATAGACCAGATGTATTGAACTTATGTGCAGCACTTATTATGCTATCTTGTTCCGATGTTATTGCCTTAAAGTACTTAGTTTGGTCTTGATAATATGAACATATATCTTTTTTTTGTTCAATAGAAGTATGTGATGCTGGTGGTAAAGGTGGTGAAACTGAAAACGTATGCGGCTCCGTCATTTGAGCATTGTCAAAACCATAATTGCCTATCGCGTTATTGGGCTCATCATAAGCGTTTTCCATATTATTGCTAAGAATTGAGTCACTTGAGTATATAGGTTTCCTCATGAGGTAAAGTTCTTTACGTGTTCTATCAAAATATTGAGCAGCCACTTCTATATCTGTGTCTTTACAAAAAATTCTGTCCACTCGGATATTGCTTTCATTACGTTCAGAGTCTTTTGATTGTTCTAGAGATGAATGTGAAGATGATAAACGCCTCAGTTGCTGTTTAATGGACCGGCCAACTGCTATATTAGGTGAGTCTTGAAATTCTATGGGGGGGTCTATTGGTGCCGAGGGGCCCTTTTTTAATGTATTGAAATTTTCCGCGCTCATTCCCCCTTCGGAGCAATTATCAAGTGAATCAAACTGAGAGACTTCACCATCACTTTCAACAATCTGAAAACACAAATTAAGAAGCTTTGTGTCATAAAATCAAACAAGTTTTACGCCGATTTTCCACTAGATACTGAAATGACAAAAACTTTGTACCATTTAAAAATGGCATGTGAAGAAATACTAATGGCTAGTAGTTTTAATCTAGTGAAACAGGTATTTTTTAATTTTCAACTCTGTCATGAAACTTGTGTCATTTAAAGTCGAGTGGAAATCCGGCATTATGATTTAAAGTAAGACGTACTTCAACTTCATGCCTGCATAAGCCCATTCGATACGAATCTCCACTAGATATTGAGCTGTTTGTAGTAAGTGGAACACCAGAGTCATCACTTAACGATGTTTGTGCATTAAGTTCAACACTATTTACGCTAATAATGTCATGTGGATGAGCGGGAAGAATACCGGCATAATCATTACAACTTGATTGACACATTTGTAAAATAGCAGAAATCGAAGAACTATTATTAAATGCAGACGACTGATGAACATTACAGTTGGAATCCTCAATTTTAATTGCTGTATCCATTTTCGATAAATTTTATAACTGCAGAAGACACACCAAAATGTACTATGTTACATAGGCATACGAAACAAAATACAATTTTAAAAGTGTAAAAAATTTGTTTTATTTGTATTCAGGGTATTCATATAAACATATACCTCGTAAATATAGTGGTTTTCCATACAAAATTAGGTAAGTTTACGAGGTATAGGTAGTAACGAGGCCTTTTTAGATGAATTGCTTTATTATTAAAATCGAAGTACGTAAAAATGGGTGCGTTCAGAAATGCATCAAGCCAAAGCATCAGTCCATTTTATTTCTAAACTATAATTACGGTGACCATATTTATGAGAGCCGAATACGGGACAAAAATAATTGTTCAAATTTGTTCCACAACAGCTTACAGATCTTAAAGCNAGTTTACGAGGTATAGGTAGTAACGAGGCCTTTTTAGATGAATTGCTTTATTATTAAAATCGAAGTACGTAAAAATGGGTGCGTTCAGAAATGCATCAAGCCAAAGCATCAGTCCATTTTATTTCTAAACTATAATTACGGTGACCATATTTATGAGAGCCGAATACGGGACAAAAATAATTGTTCAAATTTGTTCCACAACAGCTACAGATCTTTTTCAATGATCCTAGATGTATTAGCCCTGAAATGGTATCCTTATAGTAACATAACAAATTTGTAGGATAATTTTCTCGAGATTTTTACCCCGTAAAATCTGTTAAATTTTAGTATAATAAAGTGTAATTTTAAGTCGCTAAGGCTTACCATTAATTTTTGGAATTTTTTTTTTGTTCGACCATTTTTTAAAACAGAAGCAAATGAGCAGCACTTTCCACTCGCACTTGCACTTTATAATACGCAATTTTAATGAATTACAAAAGTACAAACCAAATTTTTTTTCGAAAGATTCTAAATATAAAGATTGAAATTTTAGTGAAACCTTGCAGAACTAATTTTTATAGTTTTTGCACAAAGTTGAAAATTTGTATTATATGGTAAAATAAATAATTAACATTAAATAAACCAAGGAAATATAGCCAAAACTTACTAAAATGTCGGGTCCTAATTTCTGTTTTGGTCACCGTATGTATGCCTGAATTCGAATCACAGGCATTCAAATTAGAAAATAATAACTTAAAACTGGTTCAAGGCATGGAAACACCGAATACGGGACAAATACAGAGCATTAAAAGAAATACAGAACATTTGGCGTCCCGTATAAAATAAATAAACTAACAGTACAATGGGTCAAAAAAGAGGACTGTCCCGTATAATACAGAACGGATGGTCACCGTAACTATAATTGATAGAAATGTCTTATTTGCGCATGTTTGACATTTCTATCTTTTATAGATTAGAAATAAAAAAAAACTGATGCTTTGGTTTGATGCATTTCTGAACGCACCCAATATATGAAGACTAGTGAACCCGCATGGCGTTCAAACTCCAAAATTGAATTTGACTTTTTTAACAGGTGAAACCCTATTCAAAACCCTCAAAAAATATTCCTCATGATTCACCTAGACCATTTCTGAGTGATGAGAGGTCGCGCATGGCGTCGGTTTTCATTGCATCGAATTACAAATCTCTCTGTACCTCTAAAACGGTTCTAACTTCCAAAAATAAAACCTTATTGCACGTCTATGTAGAATCCCAGTTTTCTAATGTGACTACTCATTTTGCAAATTCGAAATAACGACGCAGATGTGATGACCCTCACAAAAAGTAAAACAAATTTGACTTTTCAAACAGCTGGCAACCCCTTTAACCGTATTTTCAATTACAATTTTTTATCGTCTGGGATCGTTATACATATTTCAATCAACTGATGAATTAAATTGAATTCGATGTTTTAAGCACATGGCAACTCTCTTAAATACAGTTCAGCAATAAATTATTTTCAAGCCCATTTCGATTGATACCCATCTTTTGCAAATCCATTTAATTTATTAAATCATTTGAATTGAATTTTTTCAACAGGTGGCAGCCCTCTTCTGACACCCTTAAAAAATGCTTGTGCGAAGTTGCAAGATACTGTGTGCTTGATACCTTAGTGCTCGCAGTATTTGCACCAATGCGTAATGAAATAAACCAAGAAATTTAAATGAAACAAATTAGTGTTCCGCAAAGATATAAATGGTTTATTATAAAGTTGCTAAATTCACTAGGTATGCCTTAACAGTATATTGGAATATTACCTTAAACAATTGTGGCGGGATGTGATGGCTGACGTCGCTCGTCGATGATCTTCAGAAAAGAAGTGCCGGCGATGATCTCAGTAAATTAAGTCCAACCTCCATACAGTAACTATTTGAAACTTAACGATGGTAAATTTGGCGAGAAACATCTATCAGATTTCTGATTATTTCCTAATACATACATGTGCATACATGTGTGCGTATATAAATAAGCATTAGGGGGTCCGTCTTGTATTGTTTGGTTTAGGCTACAGGCCTAAACATACCGGCCCCGTTGCTATAAGCAACATCTGTCGCGCCATTCAGCCACCACACCTACATCCTTTAACAAATAAATGTAAAAAGAAATATGTACCAAATTACATTCATAAATTGATTGGTATTGCTATGTGCTGATTTGGAGCCTCCAATTTTCGTCTCGGCTTCCTTGATACTGGAAAAGAATGGTTATAAGAACGTGGTTGAAACATTTCATTGCACTTATATTGGTAGATACCGAAAATTTTAACTAGTTTAAGGCCATAGGTAGCTGGCGAGGCCGAGTCTCCAGTCGACCTTGATGCCGTTTTTGATAATAATTATTTTTGTTGTATAGGCTGTGGGCGGAAAGGCCTTGATTCCGCTCCACTATGCCTTTGTATCTTTCACGTGGTCGGAAAGGCCGAAATTCCGATCCACGTTGTGGAATTGGCGGTCAGGAATAGTGAATTTGCGATTCCTTGATGTGATCGGGCGGAAAGTCCTAGTTTCCGCTCCCAGTCTTTCATTGTATACTGTTTATCTTATTTTTTTTATTATTCTTATTTTCAAATATCATCATTATTATTTTTATTTTTTTTTCGTTTGTTGGGTGGCGAGTTGCAAATAAACGCACATGAATCCCAAAACAAATGTGTTTGCACTTTGTCAACATTTTCAGCTCAAATTACTGTGGATTTGGGCTTACGATTGAATAATGTGAGTGGTACTGTGTGGTATGCATAATATTCCTCTACCGATACCTTCTTATCGATTTTGGTTTCTACCAAGGTACATTGATAAGGTAATCGCAGGAATGAGCTGCCGAAATCTTCTGCGAGTGTGTGGAAATGTAAAGAAAATATTTCAATTTGACGGAATTTGATAATCAGCTGCTCTAATAACACCACCCATATGAATTCGCCTTGGTTTCTACGCTCACATACCCTGCAAACCAAAGTTCCCGAAATCTTAAGGAAATCGTTAGGAGTATCTCATTTCTGTAACGATTTTTTTACGAATTTTCAAAGAAAATTATATGAAGTGGTTGACACGAACTCATAAAGAAATTTCTGTACGAAAAATAAAGAAAATTCTGGAAAAATTCTGAAAGATATTCTTCACATAGCACCATTATTTTCGTTGCTTCACAGATTTTCTTCCGAAATTTCGTAAAAGAATGGAAGTGTGCGTAATTTATTTAATTTTAGAAAATTCGGAAAAAAGTCGAAATAAATCTTAACGAATTCTTTAAAATTTCTTTACAGTGCAGAATACTCTGAAAAAATGGTTTGCAGGGTAGCTGCCATATTGGTCCACAAAGGTATGAGTAAATAATTCTGTGGTCATAAGCAATAACCGCCTAAGTCGACTCAAGAAAGAATTGAGTTATATATGCTATCGTTTTCTCCAACTACTATTCCATGTTTAAGTGAAACTCCCATCTCGTTACCTAGGCTATTTGAAAAGTGATAGATGAAAATATTTTGGCTTTCCCATAAGGTTGACATTACAACCCAAATCTTTAAAGCGTTTTCTCTCGAATTCAGGTTTTCCGACTTAGCGATTATTATTTAAGACCACAGAATTAATATCTCAAATATCGTAAATGATACGACAGGGTGATTATGGTGAGTTTTGTATTTATCTTGGCCTGCCACCAAAGAAAAAAAACCATAAAAAATAACTAAAAAGTTTCCCTTGGTGGTCAACCTTGATAAAATTTGGGAAATAATTATATTTGAGATTAACATTTAAATTGCGTTATGGAGTGTTACTTATAGAATAATGCAAAAACATTGTTTTCATGTATTTTAAATGACTAATGCATGGTTGTTTAAGCGATTCGCAAGTTTTTGATTCAAATTTTTGTTTCTAAAATTAACCTTGTGGCTAACGCGCGATAGATGGTGCTGCAAGAAATTGCATATTACCACATCGTTGTAGGGTCACGCAATGTAGTATTAAAAGTGAAAGTACATAACGTGCATTGCGTCGCCGTCACCGTCACCGGCAGTTGTCAAAAAAGCTGATTCGGTGTATTTGTATGAAGTAAGTTACATGAACAAGCTGACGGTGACGGTGCCGCACAAATTAGCTCAACTCTCGGTTTTGCTTATGCGATTGCGTCAAATGACAACTATTCAATGGTTTGTTTACATGTTTGAACGTAAATTTTTCCAGTTTGTGAAAATTTTAATATTTATGGAAATATTGAATGTAAAAAATAATGGAGGAAAACCTAATAAAGGAAGTGAAAAAGTAAAATGCAAATTTTGCAAAGAGTATCCGCGAGTTAATGATTTTTCGGGCGAAATGTCAAACGAATTGTGTGTAACTTGACGCATAAGCATCGTTGACGGTGATGTTGACGGTGGCGGTGACGCTGTCGCAATGGATGGTATGTACTTTCACTTTAAGATCGTAAAATCTTGTACACACCTCTGGCAATATTTGGAATGAAGTGAAATGTCATTCACTATTTTCCATGAGGCAGAACGGATTTATTGTAGCATTTTAATTAATAATTTATATTGAATTTTCTCTTCCAGGTTTTAGCAAATACTCATTAAGATAAGTGCAATACCTAGA